CATCCTCAGCCTCCTGAATTTCAGCCCAGCACCTTCCTCCCCAGCACAGCAACAGGTCAGCCCTGACCATTCCTCTCTTATTGCCTTTGTGCAAACCAGGACCAGGACCAGGACCAGGTGAGGCCTTGGGATTGTCCCTCCCCAACAATCTGCAAAACAATCCTTGATGTCACCAACAAAGCACAGCCTTATGAATTGGTGGTCAGTCCCTCTGTGAACACCTCTATCACTGTAAAGCTGGCAGCGCCCCTCCACGGTTGGCCTTCCCAGGCACTGCACCTGTAGGTGACGGAGCATGTCCTTACCCTGAGGCCTGGGTGCCCAGTCTATCCTGTCCAATGAGCGAGCTGTGGAGAAGGGGGGATTCCAGGTTAAGGGGAGACTAGCAGGGCTCCTGCTTTTATGCTGCCCTGTTGGGAAGGCTGTTAAAGAAACAGAAAGTGCTAAGCAGTGAAGATAGAACATGTTTTCATTACTTAAACCAATACATTCCACAGATGGAATAATAAGAAATGCTACATGCAAGCTAACTGAACCCAACAACATATCAAAAAGATAATCCACCATGATCAAATGGGTTTCATACCAGGGATGCAGGGATGGCTTAACATATGCAAGTCAATCAATGTGATACATCACATAAATAAAATTAAAAACAAAAATCATATGATAATCTGAATAGATGCAGAAAAAGCATTTGACAAAAGCCACATTTCTTCATGATTAAAACCCTTCAGCAAAATCAGCATAGAAGGGACATACCTTAAGGTAATAAAAGCCATCTATGACAAACCCACAGCCAACATTATCCTGAATGGGGCAAGTTGAAAGCATTCTCCCTGAGGACTGGAACAAGACAAAGATGCCACGTTCACCACTTCACTCAACACGGTGCTGTTCACTACAGCATTGGTCATAAGAGCAAGACTGGAAACAGAACTAATGGATACCCAGAGGGCGGTGCTTAAGTAATTTTGGGAATAGTCATAGGATGCAGTATTTCATAGATCTGAAACAATACAATGGATTTACAGTTGAAATGTGGAATGATAACTAAGGTGCATTGCCCAGTGGCATATGCAGAGGTGCAGAGGACTTTGTATAAACACGATCACGCATCAGCATGCATTCCAGGCGCATGTTTCTATTTGCACGTAGATTGTAGGGATGATATGTGAACAAAACTGTTGACTTGCTGTTTGGAAGTTCAGAGTGGAAGGGAAACTTCCTTGCTAACCTTTTATGATATTTAGAGTTATTTCTAACTGTGAATACGTAATACATTTAGAAACCTTAGCTAATAGGAAAAGCCTCTGTTCCTGGCCTCCTGCTGGCACACGTCAGGTGAACATGGGGCTGTCATGCTAATGTGTGCAAACTCAGAAAACTCCAAGAATGGGAGTCTGTGTTTTTCATCATACAAATAATTGTTAATAGAAATAGTATAATGGTTATTGCTCATGGATATACCATGCATATTCTATTAGATAATAATAAATTCTGACATTTGAACCATATTTACACATGGACATTGAAATATATGGATGAAATATTGTGGCTTATACGGGCAATGGCTTTATTGGCATTTTACAAACTGATCCTCATTCATCATGGCATGGGTCCGTGGGACATTAAGTAGCCTGTTATGTTTGGGAAAGGCAGTGATGACCACAAGAATGACTTCGACTACTAAAGTACCATGGAGATTTCAACAATGTTTTGTTTAATATTTAAACATTTCATTGTGCTTCCAAGGTTTTTTCTCACCCTAATAGCTGTCACCCATATCATGCGGGTCCCATTAATACAGATACCTCCGAATGCACCACTCTTCCATTATATCCAGCCAATTGCTGGTTACCTTGGGACTACAACTGGGGGAGGGCAGGGCCTGCTTGCCACCTCCTCATCTACGGTAAGAGTCAATGAGCAGTTAAGTAGACACTGAAAACCATTTATCCTGCTGGAGTGAGAAATAAATGGTTTCTTTCAACAGGGTAATAAAATGCATCTTTTCCAACTTATTTATATGACTCAAGGCCCATCTCAATTCCAGATGCGGATTCTCACAAAGGTGTATAATTCCTGATTCTCACAAAGGTGTGTAATGTTGTCCAAGGCCCAGTGCAGAGGAACACAGGTGTTGCCGTCAGACTGCCAGGGTCCGATCCCGCCTCCGTCACTCACCCCAGGAGCTCCCTTTAAGCCAGGAGTCAACAGCAAGATGGAAACGTGAGTGCTTTTTAAAGTCCTAAAAGTTCAGAGGATGACCGTGAATTTCTCCTGCACCCCTGGGCACACACCAGGAGAACTGTGTCTCCAGGTTCAAGTAAGTGCCTGTGAGGGAGTTGTGTCCCTCAGATTCTGTTCGCCACAGGTGCCACTTGATGCAACCCCAAACCTCTTCTGCACAATCCCAAGGAGTGCTGACCAGTCCAACCCAAAGGCTGTGATGTTTGGCAGAGGCAGAGGTAGAAAAGAAAAGGCCAGGTGTTCTGGGAAAGATCACCTTTAAATCACACAGCACCCTCCCAGCCCACAGAGACAGTTCTTACATTATGGCAAGAAACCTGGAAAACACCAAATCCAATTTGACACATATTTCCTTTTTCTTTTTGATTTCATGCCCCCTCCCTCAACCTCCCAAGCAGCATGGATACCCCGAAGGCCCTGGGAACTCTCTCCCATTGGATCTTACCTGGAAAGTAGTTACCTACCTGCAAAATCCTCGTCGTCAGATATGCTCTCCACAATCAAATCTTTAGAAACACAAACACCAGGCTAAGTCATTAGAGAGAGGCCCACCCACTCCTCGCACCCCAGCTGAAGCCCCGGTGCTTCACACAGGATCCCCTGGTGTTTCCTCTGGTTCACAGACATCCCTCCAGCCTCTCTAGACATTGTTTTATACTTGCAAAATCATCTGCTCTCACCAGATCCCAAATCCTCCTTCCCAAAAGGAGCCCAGAATCAGGTTTCTATACCCTACAG